TCATTCTACAAAACAAGACGCTTTCCAGGATTCTACGATATTCCTTCCAAATATTATAGGATAGACGAAAAGAGAAAAAACGGTAACGCACAGACACTCCGGTAGCAGAGTTAGGCGTTTTTCATGTCAGGTTGTTTTAATTTAGGGTAATATGAACTATAGGCTAGATAATTTTCCTTAACTTCTGTTGTTTCATGCTTTGTTTAACATTCTTCAAAACTGCACTCTTTCATAAACGAAAAATAGCTTTTCCGGTCTTTTCTTTTTTCAATGTTTTGACATACTCTTTCTATGTTTCTTCAACAGACGTATAAGCCCGTTTCAAATTTGGAGCTTGCAACTCTCAATCCTGTGCTCCTTTCTGTAAAAGTTCTCAATCTTTGTCCCAAAACTTTTTCTTTCTCCAATCGTACGTTTCGAACTTTTATCTTACAGAAAAATCTACCAGCTTTTCAACGATTTGAACTGTATAACCAGCATTTTCACATATGCCCTTTGTAAAATGTCTGTGATTTCAGGACGACCTGCTGTTTTCTTTGCGTTTTATCCCGTTTCGATTAGCTGCCATATTTCGACCACATAATGTGTTCTTACACCTTTTACAGGTCAAAAGGTATAGGCGTATGGGTACATACAGAATAGTGCTCCATGCTGTTTGATGACCATCACATCTTAAAGCGTTTTCTCAACAAACTACACGTTTCCTTTATGAAACAGAACAAAGTTAAACTATTCCTTATTTTTAGTTGGTTCTAATAATGACAGAATACCAAGTATATTCAAATATCACTGGCTTTGCCATAATCAATCTCACAACCAATCGTCTGAGAACGATTTGTTGATGTTCTGTTTCCATGATGAACGATATTTATGCATATGTGACGAGGATCGTTATCGTGCTGAGTGTTTCCAGTACAACCATTTTATCGATCAATGTGATCTATGCTATTCGAATGGCTATTGTGTTCAAGGTACAAGAAGTCAACTATGTCTTTGTCCACGATGCTATTACGGCGAATACTGTCAGTTTACTACGCAGGTATTAAGTTTCACGTTAGACTCGTTAATTGTCAAAGATAAGCTCTCAATCCAGTTACTGTATTTGTGCTTGACATATACATTATTTGTTGTCGGTTGTTTCAATAATTTATGTAGTTTTTTGACATTTCGACGTTCTAAACCGCGCGAATTCCCTACTGGTAAATACTTATTTGTTATGACTCTGCTCAATCAATGTTCGCTTTTATGGTTGTTTTTGAAAGTTCTTTACATTGTTCTGGGTAATTATGCTGTCTTTGTTCGACACGCAACAATAAATTTGATCTTGTGTAAGACGATTTCATATCTGCTGTCGACGGCCACTCGATCCAGCTATTGGTTAACAAGTCTTGTGTCAATTGAACGTCTTTTTTTGACTATTCGACCAGCAATGTCATCATTTCGAAAACCGCGAACAGCTATCCATTTAAGTTTCGTCACATTAGTGATCATCTTTGGGATGCATGCACACGAATTGATTTATTATACAATTATTAAACAGAACTCACAGTGTATCATCAGTTACAAACAACAATTTATATCCACATATGATCGTGTTAATGCGGTTATGCATTATATAGTTCCATTTATTATACAAACAATGTCAATCACTTTTCTCATCGTTCAAACAGCGAAAAGCCGTGTACGTACATCAAACAATGCATTATCACTCACTAAAACATTTAAAAGGCAGTTTTATCAAAATAAAGAACAGTATTTAACACCAATTATTATCATTCTCTGCGCATTACCACAACTGGTCATCTCGTTCAGTCTTTCCTGTACGCCATTGACTGAAACGACATGGAAACGAGTATCACTCCTTATTACTTATTTATTATCATTTGTACCTCAATTACTAGGATTTATTCTGTATGTTTTACCATCAACATCATACAAGCAAGAATTTAAAAAAACAGCGATTGCCAAATCACGATTATTTAAATGTCTTCTTTTTAAATCAACACCACAACAAGGACAAAATATTCGAGCCATTATAAAATAAATACTGGCACGCGTTTAATGTCATTTCTGTACATATTTCCTTAGTATTTAAACACGCTTGATTTAGTATTTTCGTTGGACAAAAGTCCGGAAATTTTGTAACATTATACTATCGCTATTATGTATGTCATTTTAAGCCTAACTGTTAATGAATCAATATAAATATTCTAAAGACATCAAGGGAAAGATATCACCTAAAGACGTCACCTTGTATGCGATAAGTATGCATCGGTTTCGATGTTTAACCGCAAATCCCAAGAGCTTAAAAAAGTTTTAGAACGGGCGTTCTGACCCCGTATCAAAACTTTATACGGGGTCCAGACCCCGTACTGAGGCTGATTTATTTACATTCTACCCGTTCCCTTGTGAAAGAGTACGGG